ATTGGATTGACTTCTGTAAGGCATTTTTACTCGACTATGATTCTTAAATTCAAAGATTGTAGGATTGCTGCACGATTTGGAAAAAAAGTCGACTTCAACGTGTTCTAATATACGTCAACGTATGTGCCAAGCAACTATCGATTATGAGAAGGATCTTCATTTTTTTTATTAGCGTATGCAAGATTTTCAACCATGCATTAAATACTGTTTGTGCATGTCCAGCTACATTCGTGAAGTGATCGAATAATGTTTAAACGTGGTGGATTCGCGTATATTCCAGTGATAATTGGTTTCAGTTTCTCTGTCCAAGAAGCGTTGCAGCAAAACAAGGCAGTTAAGCACAGTTTTGATGTGTCCCTCCTCTGCATTGATCTCGATTAACTGTGAGTCTTCGATCCGGAAGTAACTCATAGAACATTCTAGTCTCATGGACACTTAAAATATCATTGATGTTGTATTCTGCCAATACCATTGTGATTTCATCTGCACGCCATTCGCTAACACTCATGTTGTACATCACTGTTTTCTCAGCAGGTTACCCTGGGAGCTATTCGATAACATTCACGAATACTTAACGTAAATATCTCTAACCGCACGAAGGTCTGATCAATAGAGAACAAGAAACTCGTCTAAGGGTTAGAAAACGGGTTTCGAATGTGTGAGGATGCTAATTTTTGTAGGTACAATATGCAAAACAGATGAGCCGCGAGCTATTCCAAAATCGAATAATCCCACTTACGGAGTAACTCAGTATAACGGGTAAACTGGTAGCAATGCGTGAAAACATTCTCTTTTCTGTAATCTATATTATATTGTTTGGTTGTTGATTTTATAAAGGATTATTGTACATCAGGCGACACCCAAACGTTTGGCAATGCCTGTGAGTCCAAAAATAGCTGAATTAGCTGAACTACTTACCCTTTTCCTATCTGGAGCAAAGATGAGTGTAGTCGATGTTTGTTTTTGCGTATGTATGAAATAAATTTTGTTTTATATGTGAGTCATCCGTAGAGTTTGATTTCGTTATAATGGTATCTGTTCAATGCATTTTATTGAGTAAATTTTTAAAGCAAGAAAATAATCCATGGAGTATTGTCTAATAAAAGATAACTGGCATTGAGCTGAGGTAGGGGCCTGACAAACCATACCATCTAATTCCACTCCAAGGCGACACCCTTCACTTCCATCCGTCGCTACGTGATTTTCCCAACCGTTGTCTTTCCATGGCTGTTTCTATTACAGACAGTTGGTGCTCTTTGTCTTTCGTGAGTCAGCAGGGCTCATCATACTTTTTCAATATTGCCGACAGGATGGTAGAATTCTTGCCCTCACGTTGCCCTTCGACCCTGATGGACTGGAACGCCCATCATTCGGTATCCTATCTCAGCTGAATCTCCAGCCTGGTCATGAACATTGGTCTTCAGGCCCAGGTAAATGTATTTATCGATGTAGATCCTTTCGCCATTTGATATTGCCTGTACCTTCGGCGAGATATCGCAGTTTCTTTGTCTTTGACTGACTACTTGGCGGTCCGACTTCCGTACTTTTTCTCTTGACCTCTTGCAGCATGTCTGACGTTTCGGCGAACTGTTGGTGACTGGGTTGTTCAACATTGATGTTAATCTCATCATTCCAGTTCGTCTTCCGAAACACCATTGCCAAACAGGCAGTGAAGAGTTGGAGGGGGGATGATGTCTCCTTGCTTCGCGTCCTTTTCTACAGGAATCCGGAGATGGTTTCGAATAGCGTGATGTTTGTAAAGCAGTTAGGATTCGTTTTCTTTAATAGGCTGAAGACGAAGGTCGATGCAGCGCTATGCCAACCTGTTGCAAATTACATTCTATTCTATGACAGTGGGGAACGCTTTGTCATACTCGACTAAAGAGATGTACACAGGAAACTGGTATTCCGTTGCGGACTCGAGAAGTTGATCTGCCGTAAAAATGTTTTCCTGCCTTTTATCTGCGTCCGCTATTCGTTAGAACTTGTGAGATCACCCAGATTGGGCGATAGATCTTCAGATCTTCCTTTTCGCCAGTCTTCAACAACATGATTTTTTATTACCCCTTTCAGCTTGTTGGTATATTTTCCGATTCAGCTAGTAACTGGATCTCTCCGTTAGAGTCCTCCAACAGCGTTGGACTACTTGCTCTGATCATTTCAATTGTCATATCATCTCTCGGTGGGGCTCTTTCTTTTCCACATGCTGGGGGCATGTTATACTTCGCTTTTAATGACCGGAAGTGCACCTCTTTGTGAACGTTGGAGTGATAGGGGGCGTATCTTAGAGGCGAAGACCTGGGTGTGAACGTTCTGGCAGATAGTCTGCATATCAGCGCTGTCAGATGTGAATTCTACATCCTCATTCTTCAACACCGTGACAGGAAGGAGTTCAGGAAGTGCTCATTCAGCTTCTTTCTAATCAGCTTGCAGAGTAGAGATTATTCCGCCGTGTCGGTCCCGTTTCTCTTCATCTTCCTCCGTTTCTCTAGCAAACTTCATCTCTTCCGAGACCCTTCCTTTCTCTCTCTTTGTGTTACCACATCGGCTCACTTCGTGTAGGCCTCAGTTTCTTGGCGAATTTCTCCTAGTCATCGTAGCTGCCTTTTAGCTCCATTTTTCACGAAGCACAAGCTTGGAACACTGCATCGTCGAATTCCTTAGGTCGTTGTCTGTTGTTTTCAATCTGTAGCGCCTTCCTGTGATCATCACCTTGAAGGTCAAACCCGGACCATAGCAGTTTGTGGTAACTGTCGGTGTTAAATTATGGGAGTACTGCAAAGTCACGGATGATGCGGCGGTTTTCGAACAGAATAAACTCGATCTTTTAGGCCGCAACCCATATTCACTTCCCTTGGATTTCTTCTTGAACTAGGTGTTGGCAATGTACAGGTGTTTCATTTCGTCAGTAAATCTCATCGCTTATTTCTCTCTCCAATGCCGTACATACTCTCGAAATTCCCAATGGCTTTTCTTCCTCCGACGTTGGCATTGAAGCCTTCCATGACGAGAATATATATCGACTTTCGGGCCAGTGTCTGTTTCAGTTCTTGTTGGTATTCTTAAGCCTCTTTCTAGCTGACCTTACTTGTGGAAAGTTTTGGACGTAGTTCTGGACGATCTTTAAAGTTCTCCTTTTGTTTAGTTCCGGATATAGCACACCTAATGTTGATGACTTTACATAACAAGAAACGATTTGGAGGACCAGTTTTTTAAATGAGTACAAAATCGAATTCTTCCTATGTTTTTTCGTGCCACCTCTTACTAACTAAATCGAACTACCGTCTTTCCAAATGCCACTATTTCTTTCTGCTTTCTTGTGTCGTAGAGGCAAAGGATGTCACTGGACATTCTGACATTTCTTCTATTAGCTCATTTAACGTTTTCTTCCATCGTCAATGTTCTGCAGTTGTGGATGCAAACGGCGAGAGAAGTCCGGTATGGCTACCTTTCACGTGGGATTCTCAGCAGCCTCTCGTCCGCTGAATACCGAACCGTTGCCGTGGTTCAGACTGAAAGAATCGCAAGGTAGTGAGACGTATTTATTCATATTGTGATAGCGCATTAAATCGTGCGACCTTCTGGCAGGACTGACGATGGCTTGGGAAATTCTGTACAAATGGGTTCTCCAATTGCGTCCGGTTTTTTAATTAACTCATCTCTTTAAACAACCGTCGTCTAACTGCATGGCAATGATGTTGGTAGCGTTTTCTTTGAAATGGGCGGATTGCATTCACAATGGCGGCATTGTGACTTTTCCTCGGAGGGTGGAATTCTCGGGACGAAATCCAGCCACGGACTGGTAGTCTTACCATCAACTGCGAATATTGTTCACTATGTACTATAACTGTGTACTGACCAGAAATATGCCAAATTACGCATAACTCCTTCATGGTTAGATTTCACAGCATATTGCACCGCCAGTTTGCTTGTAGTTGCTTAGGCGAGCAGCAGACAGACGAGCGGCCTCATTTTATTTAAGCCCCTGCACTACAAAATGCATCCCGCAATATTTTATTCTCTACAGCCACCTCAAACTCATTCTGAACGATGTTTCAGGACATTTTACTCGCGATGTGCCACCGGTAAAAACAAAAATATGTTTTTACATCGAATATCAAATAGCAGAGAGCTTCTTTGCAAAAAATTTACCAGAGTAAAATGAGCAGTAGACAAATAAAAATATTTAACGTTTGTGCGCGCCCTTGAAATTCGCTGGGTTATAACGATTTCAGCGTAATATTAACTGCATCCTTATCGTTGAGTTTTCTTCTGGTGCATGATCTTGAGCTTAAGGACAATAGAATTGCGTAAAAATAAAACATTTGTTTATTGTAGAACATCATTCACATGTACAGTTAAATTATCAACCACATTCAGCATTCTGCTATCCATCTGTATGATTCGACTATGTTCCCAAAACGGACTGTTCCGTTACGGAGGTAGCGGTGGCCATGAACCAGTTTCCTCAGATCCGGTGAGTGTCGAAAATTGTTTCCTCAAGCTGTAGCGTAAATAAAACCTTTTTCAACAGCGAGGGCTTCCGTTTCTGCTTCCTGTAGCCTAAAGTTAAAGTGAGTCAGGTTTGGCATTTTCGTTGATTTAAGTGTTTTATCCGATCATCAAAAATACCTTCAGTTAGGTGGGTTTGGCGGTTGCGATTCGGTCGCTGTGTTGCCATCGCCGTTAACCCTAGGGTTAATTGCTTCCTTCGCTACGCTCTTTCCACGAGAGTAGACTTGTTTGTCAAAGACGTACCCGTATTTTGCATGTTCAATTGCTTGTCGTAACTAAAAATGAAATGATTGATTTTCGCTTAACAGAAGCACTGTTTAAACAAAATCAGTCATTCATTAGAATCAACGTTTGGATATGATTTTGTGCAAAATGAAGCTGGTAATGTCGATTGTCAGCATTTGTAATTCTGAGACATACGTCACCAGTCAGTAAGGCTGAGTTCAATGGTTTAAAGGGATGACCGGGTGCTGTTCAAGCACCGAATTTGTCACTCAGTCACGTGGAACATGAAATTAAGCGGGCATGCCAACTGCCATTGAAATGTCAATTAGACATAGACTTGCTAACCACTCCACAAAGTTTCAAAGGCATCGCGAGATGTTGTTCATTGCCGATGTTGATTGGCAACTCCGAAGACAAGCCCTTATGGCAGAAGACTTCGATAACCATCATTTAATAAAAATCGTCTCATATTTCTCTATGAAATGTTTTATTATTGCTGTTTCATAATGAATATTATTCTATTGAATGAGTATTGCTGTGCGTCATGAAGACAAAAACTGCAGATGGAGCATCTTTGAAGTACAAGGATGATATGGATGGCTATACTGTAAACGTTCAGAAGTTGCTATTTCTTTCAGGCTGTTGGCTACAGAATATTGTTCTATAGTCTGGTTGTCTGCCAATACTTCAGGTCCTTTCGATTTAATGAATTTTGGAGCAACAGACGCCAGTCGTTAAGAACGCTCGATCTAGGTAATCTTCAGCCCATCTCTAGGCTGCTAGTCATGTGACTACGAGAAAGAGTCAATTTTTCCTACCTTTCCATTCTATATTCTTGCGTGCATTCAGAATTTGCTGCTTGAGCAACCATTAGTAGTTTGTATTCAGAACAGGCTACTCTTTTCAGGTAACAAGTGCCTGTTTAATGGTTATTTTTCTTGTGATCTCTAACGGGGCTAGCTTTGCTTAGTGGATCGCAAAGATTAGATTTGGCACAGTTAATATCGTGCAGTCTTCTATAGCAATGATTGTTAATTGATCATTTAGCCATCGCTTAATAAACAGAGTCTCAATGGCTTAGCCATTTAGTAAACATCATGGCACATTGCCCTAACCGCATCAGTTTACCTCTAAATTTCGGCAAGACGCATAGACGTGACAGCACTATCACATTCGTTTCTCCATTCCTCGGCACTAATACGTTTTTTTCTCAAGAGTCTAGGGATAATTTTCACTCATTAGTTCTTCGTTCTCATTTTAAGAGATTAAATGCTGCATAAATTCGTTTCACTCCGTTGGAGGTTACTTTGAACTTTCAGGAAATTAGGGTTCACGTTCTCAACGGAATCTCATGTTCATTGCTGATTAGAATAACTACCAGGTAAAAAACTTTGTGCTTTAAAGCACCTTGAAAGCCATATGAGCAGGCTACGGATGTGGAATATATCAGCACTGGATATGGTGCGTCTGGTAGCATGAATGTCAGTAGGCCAGAATTCTCGTTTGGAACGCTAACCCATAAAGATTATCAAATGAAGTAATTATCTTTCATCATTGTGCACAACATACCTCGTTCAAAGTGACCATTCCCACCAGCTTTCCTCGCCATGTGACGAAGGCGCGATAGAGGCCGAGTAACGAAAACAGTTCGTGCGCTTGAAACAGGGACGTCTGCTCGGTTAATTGGAGTGGAGCCGAGTCGATGTTCAGGCGGGTAAAGTCTGGTTTCTCTGCTAAACAGGCTTCTTCCCATTGTTTACGCTATTGTAATTTTGTTATTCGTTTATTTCACATTTTAGCACATACCTCGTCACCAACAAGATCCACTTCTGAATCCTGCTAAAATAGAAATTGGATTAAATATTTTGTCGATGATGAGTGTACCATTCAGTATTTCAGACAAATGCGTACTGTGCAAATACAGGACAGGACGGTTTGAGCGAAATGTGCGCAGTATCACTGACCATCTGCTATATGCTTAGTTCACTCCGAAGTGATTGATAACATCCGCTCTCTGCTCATCAAGCCCCCGAAGTGAAGCAACCAAAATTCAGTCATTCATATTACCAGAATTCATAGTGATTTCCTGATATGATCGATTTGCCCGCTTAACATATTTCAACAGTTTCTGATTGCTGTGATTGTCATCACAGGTTACTCCTTGATACTGGAGGTAACAAGCACTTTATCACTGTATGCTCTCTGTATATGTAATCATTTCTGCTTATTTTTATTCATTAGACACTAAAAATGCATAAAAACTGTTTATGTATACACAACACAAGAAAACAAGTTGACAAATTCAGTGATTGACCAGTACCGACGTTTCAATTTTCCCTCATGAGCCTTCCTAAGGATATTAGGCTCGGAATATCAACCTTGACCTGATTTAAAAGTATTTTTAATGATGTGTTGACGACATTTTTTTGCCATTTGTCTCAATCGAAGTGAAAATAAAGTGCTTAAACTTCTATATGATCTCTTTCCTCAAAATTTAGAGCTAACCATTGAAAAGGATAATTACTCAACTCTATCCTTTCTCGATGTCATAATAATTAACTCTGCTAGTTGCTATAAAACTAAACCTTATCGTAACCTACTAACACTGATAAATACATAACTTCTGTTCACAAAATCATCTAAATAACAAACGATTTGTAATTTTAGCTTTAATAGGCAGACCTCTTAACTTCTGTAGTAATAAATTTATCAAAAAAAGTAATTAAGCATATTAAGACAACCTTATATGATAAAATAATTATTCTGTTAAGTTCTTTGATAATGCTGTAAATCGTACAGTTAGTCGTTTTAGATCAACCTGTAACACTGATAGTCCAAGAAATAAAATTCCGAATAATAAACAGTACTCAATTCTAACATATCATAAGAGTTTTAATGAAAAATTGAAATGAGTCTACTTGACACTAAATACAATATTC